GAAAACGGTGAAGTTAGCAAGTGCAAAGCTCGCTTGGTGGCCAAGGGTTATGCACAGGAGAAAGGTGTAGACTACGATGAAGTTTTTGCCCCGGTTGCAAGATGGGATACTATCCGAATGGTGATAGCACTAGCAGCAAGAAATGGCTGGAAACTCTATCAATTGGATGTCAAGAGTGCATTTTTGCACGGAGAGCTGCATGAGAATGTATATGTATCACAACCGCAAGGATATGAAGTAAAAGGGGAGGAAAGCAAAGTTTACAAACTAAAAAGGGCACTTTATGGGTTGAAGCAGGCTCCAAGAGCATGGTTCAGCAGGATCGAAAGCTACTTCCTCAATGAAGGTTTCAAAAGGAGCTGCTATGAATACACTTTGTTCATCAAAGAAGAAAAAGAGAAAATATTGATTGTAAGTCTTTATGTTGATGATCTTATTTTTACCGGTAATAATCTGATCATGATGCAAGGATTCAAAAATTCTATGAAACGAGAATTCGAGATGACTGATCTAGGCGAAATGAAGTACTTCCTAGGAGTTGAAGTGCGTCAAAATGCGAGAGGAATACACATAAGCCAGAAGAAGTATGCAGGAGAAGTTCTCGAGAGATTTGGCATGGGAAATTGTAATGGAGTAAAAAATCCCATAGTCCCTGGGAGTATTAAGCTGTCAAGAGAAGAGGAAGGAAAACAAGTTGATGGAACTCTTTTCAAGCAGATGGTGGGGAGTTTGATGTATATGACAGCAACCAGGCCTGACTTAATGTACTGTGTGTGTCTTATTAGTAGGTTCATGTCAAATCCAAAGGAAGCACACATGCTTGCAGCCAAAAGAATTTTAAGGTATATTAAGTCAACAATTGATCTAGGCATCTTCTACTGGAAGGGGTGCAAGGATGAGTTAGTAGCTTACACGGACAGCGATTATGCCGGTGACATAGATGACCGGAAAAGCACCTCAGGCTATGTATTTATGTTAAGTGGTGGAGCTGTTGCATGGGCCTCCAAGAAGCAGCCAGTAGTTACTCTTTCTACAACTGAGGCCGAATACGTAGCAGCGGCATCTTGTGCTTGCCAGTGTATTTGGATGCAACACATTCTAAAACAAATTAAAGGTTCTCAATCTGATTGTGTTACAATGTTTTGCGACAATTCTTCTACCATTAAACTTGCCAAAAATCTCATGGGAGAAGCAAACACATAGACGTGAGATTTCATTTTCTGAGAAATCTAACTAAGGACGGAGTTGTTATTATGGAGTTCTGTAGAACAAATGATCAGCTTGCAGATATCATGACCAAGCCATTGAAGTTGGACCAATTTGAGAAAATTCGGAAGCAGCTGGGAGTACAAGCAGCAGAAGATTAAACTAAAATGCAGTATGCATACTTAGTTTAGGGGAGGAATTGTTGAAATATTAATATTTGTTTTAATTAGTATTTGAATTTTAGTCGGTTAATAAATTCCTAGTCAAAAGGAGCAGTTCTAGTAAGTCCTATTATTTAGCATAGAGGGCTGAAAATTAGGAGTTTTAGTTTTAAGCAGTTTTTTTGTAAGGCTACTTATACAGCCTCAACTTTCTGTTTTCATTATCGAGTAAAGTTTGCAACATCAATAAAGCTTGAGATTTTTGCATTCTTACCTTGATCAACAAAATATGTTTTTAATATTTCAAATTAAAAAAAAATTGTTTTTAAAAAGGGAATCAAACAGATCCCAGATTTTTTTTGTTTAGAAAATTAGGATTGTTTCAACCGCAGTAAATGGATTATGTTATTGAAAAAGTTAAGTCTTCAATATAACTTTTTCTAAAGGTTTTGGATAAATAGGATCGTTATAGAGAATAGAAAATTAGGTGCAAGGAAGGAAATTATAGAGCCTTCATCTATTAATCACTTTGGAGTATTTGGGTGCATTTTCTTATGCACACGTTCCAGATTCAAATAGAAAGAGACTTGATAATAAGAGGGAGATGTGTACCACTTGGTGTGAGTAACCAATTTAAATTTTACCTTTCTTTTTACAATCCTTTAACTGATAAGGTCTATGTTGGATGAAAATATTTAGGTAAATAAGAAAACTTTAGAAATATAATTGATTATGATTTGCAAATTATGAAAGTTTTGTTAGATTAAAAGCATGAAAAATTACTTAGGTTACCATAATTGATTACTAAACGGGTTTTGCTCTATAATTGATTAAGCAAGTATCATAATCACTTACAGACCGAGTTTTGTTAATTAATTATAGAGACTTCATAGTCAATTAGAGAGATTTTATTATTGATTATACTTTGCTTTAATTTTGGTCTGATTCAAAGTGATTTTAAGATGTTTTAAAAATATATGAAGTTTTAAAAAAAAACATCATGTGTTATGTGTTATGTGTGTATATCCTTAGTATTTTAAGAGAAATACATTTAATATTGCTTAAAAGATCATATAAAGGACTAAGAGAGTTGAGCACATGAACACAAGACGATCTTTTAGCATACACATCTGTTTTTTTTAATGTTTTTCTTTAGCATTTGATTCTTTTAAGTCAATCATCATAAACTTATCACTTTTTGTTTTATTGAAACATTCTTCTTTATTTGATGATGTTTATGGTATTTTGCTTTATTCATGTTGTCATAATCAAAATCTATTTTACATGTTAAACACATAGAGTCACACATAGATGATTTGATATTTACTATAAATAATGAAAACTTCTTAATATAGTTTATACAATTCATGAGATGATGAATTTGGGAATGATGAAATGCTTTATTAGCATAGAAGTTGTTCAATTTGTAGATGACATTTTTATTTTGTCAAAAGAGATATGCTCAAGTGATATTAGAAAGATTTAAACTGGATAGTTGCATTCCAGTTCAGATTTCTATGATTCTTGGAACTAAATTTATTTGAGATGTTGAAGGAACAAAGATTGACAACACTTATTCAAAGCAGGTGGTTGAAATTCTGGTGTATATGGCATCCACTCGACCATATTTAATGTATGTTGTCAGCCTCATTAGCAAGTTTTGATGGATCGTCATGAGAGGAAAGCATTTACATTGGATCAAACACTCACTTAAAATTCAAATACTTACTCAAACAAGTGAGAGAGACACCACATATTCACCCAAAATCTTAAGTTGATAGGTGTATAATTTCTCTTACTTACAAATTGCTCAACCTCCACTTTTTTAAATGTGTGACTTTGAACTCACACTTGTTTCTCAACAATCTCTCCCTCAAGTGTGGGTTCATTCACTATGCTCTCTCAAACAGAAGTTCTTTCATCCACGTGTTTGTACTACTGTTGAGAGACACCCTTATCTCGTCATGGGCACTTCAACGAAACATGTTGCCTGATCACCATGTCAGGAAGACTTTCAACACAAGAAGCAGATGTCTTACTCGAACTAGGCTATAATACCACTGATGGGTCATCATGAGGGGGAAACATTTATATTTGATCAAATACTCACCTAAAGGTCAAAGACTCAAGCAAACAAATAAGAGAGATACCACATATTTACCTAAAATTTTAAAGTGATTGGTGTACGGGTCTTCTTACTTATAAAGTGTCCAATCTCCACTTTTTTAAACAATTTGAGATTTAAAACTCACACTTATTTCTCAACAAATTTATAGAATCTCCAATCAAACTCCATCATTAATTAGTAAAATACTTCGCTGCTTGACTGACAATGTTAACTATAATTTATTATATAAGAGAGCGGAAAAGAATGAGTTAGTTTGTTATAGTGACCGTGACTAAGCTAGAGATTTAGATAGTCATAAAAGTACATCCGAATATGTGTTTCTCTTTAGTGGAGCTGCACTCTCGCGGTCATAAATAAAACAACATATTGTCACTTTTCCACCACCGTAGCATAATTTATAGGTGGTGCAAGTATGTATTTATCAAGATATTTGACATAGAAGAATTTTGTCAAGATATTTGTATGGATTAATTTATTTGAACTTATACTTATCTATTAGGATAAATATTACTGTAGTATTTGATCTAGAGTCACAATTATTAACCTAAGTAGTATATTGAATGCTTAATCAATTTCAAAGAAACTTAAGATGTTGAAATATTTTCTCAGCATTTCAGCAGAAAAAAGTCATAATAACTAACAAGTATGGCAATAAACTAGTAGGCATATTACAAGAAGCTGGAACCAATGACATTGTTACTTACTGTTTATCCGGTGTCCAATCCGGTGTCCAATATGATGCTGACACATGTGATTACATTCGATTATAACATTATTTTGAGTTACTATCAATGTTGACAAGTATGTGTATGGTGTCAGTGCTGCATAGGTCTCTATGAGCTAGTCCAGTGATTCTTTATGCTTCAATGTATCATGATATTAAAACAGTTGCCAACCTAATCACGATAATGCAGAGTCTCGTAATATATACGTGACAGGTTCCTAACTGTTCATGGTGATTCTGATGCAATAATTCCTGTTGGAGATGCATTTGAATTCGCAAAGATCCTACATAATCATAAGTCACATATAGTAGAAGGAGCTGATCATGTGTATACTGATCATTTAGCTGAGTTAGCTTCATTAACAAGTAATGTCAAGTGATATCAAACTGGGTAAATCATCCAGTTAATCATTTATTCAACTGAATTAACCCTTTTACATGATATAAATCTATTGGTATAAATGAAGCTGACAATGGAAGCAATGATAGTACTCTCTCCCTATCATCTGACTTGAGAAAAGGCTCGGTGGGACACATCAAAGCCATGGCTCAAGTTTTTGTGCTCAGTAGCTTAATCTTCACATTCTCGGTGAACCATAATGCTCAACCTCTACAAGCTATTGCAATTTATTACTATACCAAGTCGAGTAGTTTGTTTCGATGTTTCGAGTTCAGGTCACCACTGTCGTCTTTGTCAAAATGAGCCCCGCTCCTTCATTCTAGTTTTATCAAAGAGAATAGTGAGACAAAAATAGGAGGTATAAGAACAGTACTGTTAACATTAACTTCTCGATACAGGGTTGTTGTCCAGTGTTGAGTGAAGAGTTTTGTCACCATCAAACACCTTTTCATTTTTCATATCTTCCTGAAATCAACAACAAAAACTTACAAATAAACTTATAAACTATACAAAAATAGTTACAGCAGAGTTGTATAGAAGTGATAAACATCTTACAAGTTCAGATTTGAGCAAGCCAATCATCTCCTGTAAATCTGATATATGATGTTTTAGTGCCTGAAAAAAAATAGAAACTTCATGAGGTAAAAGAACAAGTAAAAGTCTCAAATTGTAAGAAGTTATTGCTTTATTACCTCCCGCCTTTGAAGCTCCATAGACCGAGCCAATGCTTGTCGTCGTGTCAACAAGCTTTTGGGCCTCATAACCTGTGGCCGGAAGTAGTTCTTTCCACGATAAATAATTATTATATGGCCTTTGGTATCTTTGTCTACAGATACCAGCACCCCACCACTCTCAGCTTCCAAAGATATCGCAATGTGCTTAACTTGGGCTAAATTTTTTCCTTTTACAAGTATCTTCACCAACTCACGATATTTCCAGTGTAGATGCATATTTTCTATGGTGCCAGCATAAACATCTCGCTTCCCTGAAAATCTCACGCTGTTAACAATTTTTGTATGATAAATTTGTACAAAAGCAGTTTATTATAATAAGTTAGTTGTTCTTACCTAAAAGTAAGTATGGCTTCATACTCAAACCAATCTTCCTAAACAAAAATCTCTCTTCATTAGTTAGAGTCTCCAAATCAGTTGGAAGGTCTGCTGCATTGTAATCACCCTGTATTTTGACTAAATCCTTCTCAGCCTTCCTGAACTTTGTTTTTGCCTGTGGCCATAAAAAGTTAGAAACATGTGGTAACAACAAATAGTCTTTAGGAAGTTATTCCAATCGGTCTTTTGCAACTTACTAGAGCTAGTTTTTTCTCGTGACTTTTGATTAAAGAAGAAAGTCTATCTAAGGTAGATTCTCTCATCATTTTCTCAACTTCTTGAGTACACGGTTGGTGTCCCCAGTTGGCAGTTGCTGCCCTACTCTCGGCAAGGGTACCAGCAAATAATGGCATTCGAGAAGATTTGCTATTTGATATAGTAATAGATGAAGCCTTTTGTCGTGCTTTTTCTTCCTCGTCTTGTTGGAGAACAGTTAGTTTCTCTCTCTCGGTCAGGGTTTTGGTAACAACTGGAGGCAAGAAGTCATTACCCCTATAAATTACAATATACTCCTTATTTCTAGAAAGTAGAGTTCCGCCAGTCAGTTTCTGCAAATGCATGAAAAGAAAACACCATAAGTTTGAAGAAAGGAATATGTTATTCACTTCAGTATTGCCACAGCCAGTGTGGTTAGCTTTCAAAATGCACGAGTATTACAAAAATATAGCTGCAGTCAATCTTTCGGGTATTATTAATTAAATGAATTTTTTATGGTACCTAAAACATTAAAAAAAAAAAAAAAAGAGTCCGAATAATATGGGGTTTCATGTAAGAACCAACGTCAGGCTTATCCTTCAATTGCAGAAAATCACTTGTGGCTTGAACCATAACAACTTACTCCTATGAATATTATCAAACCGTGAACCACAGTTTAATAACTTCAAAGAGTCATGATTCTGAATTCTGATAATGGTATTGAAAACACAATAATTTCAATGTAATTGTGATTCAAAGCAAAGGCAAATGCCATGAAAGTCACACATTTCGATATTAAGAGTATACATTCCATTGACTGAGATCGTCTGATTCAGTAAGCATTAACTACAAAGAGCAGAGATGTCGTACTTGTACTGTTTTTTTGCACTTCATCATGTACTTTATACAGATAACACCCAGTTGAGGGAAGGTTAACAATCTAGTTCGTCTTATGATATAAAATATGGTTATTAATGAATTATGTAGTTAACTTATCTGTACTTGCTTGGCATTTTCGATTAACTTTTTAGGTCAGTGGCATAGTTAAACTTTGGCAATTACCTGAAAGCTTTAAACTCAGGTGTTTGACCATTCATATTTTCAGAATGAAAATAATAAAATGCAGAAAACCAGATACACTTTATGATACTAGACAGGTTTCATTTTTATTGATTCATCTATCTATATGCTCATGTTTCATTTGATGCATCCGAAAAAAGTTTAATGGGTTTGAAATCTTAATCCATCCCTGATATTCTCATTTTGTGGAAAAAGCTCTCACTGGATTACTACAAGACTCAACAGTGACGGAGGTCGTCAAGTAGATGGATTGTTTTATTTACCTTTTTAGCATGATAAGATTCCAATACAAATAAATGAAACAGTAATGTTGTCAAATCTCTAGCGGTTCATGAGAAATACCTTGAGTACTTCTGCCATTCTATCATTAGATGTAAAGGGAACACCACGTTTGATGGCTATTTTCGCAAGAGCACTTGTTTCCCACAGCTTTACTATAGCTCTAGCCAGACCTTGCAGTTCTCTATTTCTTCCTGCAGCAGTTAACAATAGTATCTTTTGGTAAGAAAAATTTGAAGACATGAATTTGTAACTAGAGAGATTCTTGCATACCGAGGGCAAAATGCGGAGCCGTTCTTCTAGCAATCCTACGCATCACAGTCATTTCCTTGTTGGATAAGCAAGGTTTCACCCCATATGGAAGAAGTCTGAACGGTGTTTTATACCCTGGAACCACAGCAGGTAACTGGTCTGCATCAACAGGTAAAGGCTCACGGCCTGTCCAATCTTTGAAGCGCGGACCCAATTCATCTAACAAATGGTTGAGTTCGATCAATTCCATGGATTCTTTTTCACTCATGTCCTTCATATACACTGCCGAGTCTCGATTAAATGATTCTATAGGTACAACTATTTCTTTCACTTTTACTTGAGCACTGCTTCCACTTCCGACATCCACTGAATTATCCATAGCATTCTCCTTAGCATCACGTACTTTTGTGTAGGATTCTACGCAGGGTAGCTTGTAGGACATTCCTCGATATAACACTATGGAACTGCCCGATCGCCATACCACAATACCTCCAGTTTTACTCTGAAAAATTAAGCAAGAAAGTAATACTATGAAGATAAAGGCTCTAGCAGTTCAAATATTTTGATTGGAAAAAGACAATTTATAAGCAAGTAAATGAGCCCTAAGCAATCACACACTACAACCTTGTTTGGAAAAACAACTTAATAAAACACTTAATGCATAAGTGTGTATCATACAAGTGTTTCCATATAAGCTATTTCTATGTCAAAAGATTACCCCAACAACAACAGCAAAGTCTTATTCCACTAAGTGGGGTTGGCTTAATGGATCAACTACCACAATGTTCTACCTAGGACCATGCTTCCATCCAAATTGTTAATCTCGAGATTTTTCTTAATAACTTCTCTTATAGTTTTTCTAGGTCTTCCTCTACCTCTAGTTGTTTGACTTCTCTCCATCTGATCTACTCTCCTTACCACATAATTTACATGACCTCTCTCTACATTCTCAAGTCACATAAGTTAATTTTTCACCATCTTTTCTACTATACGTTCTACTCCAACACTCTTTTTAATACTGACATTTTAAATCTTATCATATTTAGTCTCGACACACATCCAACGTAACATCCCCATCTCTGCTACAATTACTTTATTCTCTCGTAACCTATTTTCCTAAGCTATCCAGGAGACCTTATGACGAATAAGTTGAACAAAACTTATTATGAACATCTGATAAGTTGTTTCCACTTCTCATAAGCTCTTACAATATCATAAATATACTCAAATAAGTCAATCTAAACAGGTACGTACATCGAAAGCAAAGGGTGCATTTGCATTTTTCAAGCCTAATTAAAGAGAAGTGAAAATGTGAGAGGGAAGGAAAAGTGAACCTCAAGAATTTGATGAGCCCTTTTCATGTTAGCAGAAAGAGGAGAATCAAACTTGAACTTAACAACTTCATCAACCTTCCATTTTTCATGAATAGAATCCACCAATTCCTGAGTGATACCAGCAACTCCAACACTGAACCTCTTCACCATTCTCAACGCAACGTTTCTGAGCCTCTTCAACTCATGTTCAGGAATCAACCTCTCCGCCAACTCAGTATTGCTTCTTCTTTTCTTCAAACCACCATTTTCTGATTCTTGAACTTGTCTTTCCACAACAGAACCACCAGAAATTTTCTGTAACGGCTTCTCACTTTCTTCAATGTCATTGGAAGCACCGGTTTCAGAATCAAGCTGTGGGTGTTTAGGGTTTCCTGCTACAAGCCAAGGAGATAAACGCTTTGGAAACTCAAAATTCAGACTCGTTGAAGAATCATTCTTATTGGATTGTGGTTGTGGTTCTTCCTCTGGTTCTGGTTCTGGTTCTGGTTCTTGTTGTGGTTGTTGCCATGGAAATTTATCTGTTTGGGAAGGTAATCTGAGGGACCATTTACCTCGAATTTTGTCGGTGAAACTTGGTTTGGAGTTGTTTTTGTTTTTCTTGTTAACAACCTTAATTTCGACATGAGTTGTCTTGTTGGAACAAGAAAGTGAGAATTTGAAAATGGCTTTGGTTTGAGATTGGGATTGGAAAAAGTGAAAATGCAGAGAAGAAGAAGAAGAAGAGCGATACCAAGTCGGTGAAATTGGTTGAAGCGCCATAAAATCAAAAACCTCTTGCTTTCACAGAGGTACCATGTAGCAAAACCAATTATCTTAACAAATCATTGAAAAAAAATCGTCAATTTCATCCTTTTTGTCTTTTTAATTTTTTATAACTAAAAACTCGCTATAGTTTTAATATATAAATATTAGATTGTACTAAGAATATAATTTTTTCTTATTTTTGTTTAAAAAAATTAATTGTAAAATTTTTTTATTATTTATAAAAATATTTGTAATATATAAAAATAATAATTATAAATGAATGCATTTTAAATTGAAAGAAACTCTACAATATAAATATAATTTTTTAAAAACAGTTGATACATGGCAACAATAGTGGAGTTTTCCTAACTTCATTTTTAATTGTAAAGAACATGTGTATATAAATGCTTTGAATAACAACTTATTAAGCACCCTAAGATTTATTTGGTATGATTTAATAGCAAATGTGGATTCACCTTCAAATATTAAAGAAGATTTCACTGACTCTTTTACACAATACTTATGCAATTCTTGAATAACTTCAACAACCTCTTAGTGTTCTCCCTTTTGCAGGAAAACTTCTCCATCCATTTGCACCACCTGATTAAAAGTAAAATTTCAACTTTTAGTATGGAAATAAAATTTAAAAAGTACAGTAAAATGTAATGAAATAGAAGAAATTAAGGAAATATTTCAATTCATTATGGTCTTAATTTTTAGTGCTAAAAAAATGAGAATAGATCTCATATTTCGTAAGCCATATATTTTGAGATTTTTTTCCCATTTTTTCCTGTATAGAATCCAGAGTAGAAATCTATATGCAAGCAAGATCACAAATTCCTCTTTTATTTTTCAGAATAAATCAAAACCACATCTTAGCAAGCAAAATCAGAAGATGAAAGAGTGTGTTGTAATCACCACGGCTAAATCGAAATCAACGACGATAGCGTTTGTGTCGGTATGACCAACAAAAGACGAAAGACTGCGTTGTGATCACCACATCTAATTCTGACTCATAATTTATATCCTCTTCTTATCCTACACTAAATCAAATCAAATTTCAATAAGATTAATCTAATAATCATCACAAAACAAAGTTTATCACTCCATTCATCAATATATGAAAATTACTCTTCTATCAAATTTACATTCAGATTAAAAACATTCAAGCATATATCACTTCAACTCAAACTCATTTATAATCAAATCATGTGTGAGAGCAAGTTGTCTCAATCCTTATTTTAATAATGTCAAAACGTGTCTAGTTAGTACTTTGTATTTTGAATGGTATCATCGAGTCTAATTTGCACTCGTAGTTCTCTTGTGCACAAAAATTTCTCAAGAAAACATGAGTCTATTCATATAGAAAAGCATTATATGTGTTTTGTGTGGGTTTGATCTTTTTGAAAGACTTAGATGTGCATTAGTAGTGTTTAGATATAGCAAGACATGTCAAAAATATCATTTTTAGAAGTTTTGAACATTTGAGTCGACTCAAAGCCCTGCTTAGGTCAACTCATACAAGGTGGATTTTGAGATTTTGCTATCAGGAGTGCTTGCAACGACCCTCCGGTCGACTCATGTTGTTAGCATTTCAATTTGTCATTTCTGGACAGGTTTGCGTCGGCGCATGAACCTGTTCCGGTTGACGCATAGAATCAGTTTCTACATAATTCTGAAAGCGAGAGTGCTCAAGTCGACCCCCTTTTTCTTTAGGTTGAGCTTTCGCTCGAGTTACCTTATTTTTCTAATATGTTTGACTTTCAAATTGCTGTTATGTTTGTTACTTGGTCTTATATATATATATATATATATATATATATATATATATATATATATATATATATATATATATATATATATATATATATATATATATATATATATATATATATATATATATATATATATATATATATATATATATATATATATTCATTTTGACTCATTCTTTAGAACTAACAAGAAAACTGAAACATAGACACTGATTTTCTCTCATCACCTTCATCCCCTTTCTTGCATTTTCTCAATAAGTACACATAACAATTTTTGTTGATCATTCTGCATCATTGAGGTGATAACGACCAAACATAGGATATTATATCGGACTTGGGTTGAGAGATCGGTGGATTTTTCTTGAATAAAACCGTTAAAGTTGTGTCCTCCAAGAATCTTGTGATTTTGGGGTTTTTACACAAATCATTTCTTCACAGATTCATCCGAGCGAACGTGATTGAAGAACGGGTGGTTCGTTCAATCTAGTAGCGGTAACTAGAGGATTGTGGAAGAAAGATTTGAGTTCGAATTGTGTGTGATTAAAATCAGTCGGGCTAAAGATTTGAAGATCGTTGGGTTGTTCAGACGAGTAGCTGCAATTGGAGGTTTATTCAACACATTAGAGACACTTGATTCACCTTGAATCAAAGGGAGAGAAGACATAGTTTCAACATCAACAACTAGGCTTGAGTGTGTGATTACTATTTCTTCTCTTGTACAAATATTTACAACAGATTTATATAGATCTCAATTCTATTTCTAGAATTGAGGGCAAACGTACCCCAAGCGGGGACGAAGGGGGAACTGCCTCAACAAATTTGGTGTTGTTCTCTCTTTCGCTATTTTTCCATTTCTGATTTATTTACGTTTGTGTTCAATCAAATTGCTCTGTAAAATTCTGGTATAGTGTAGTGCTGAAAAATATTTTGAAAGCTCATTATAATCCTTTTGATTGTAATTGGAAAAGTTCCACACTACCATTACTTGTAGAATTTCACTTGGAGTGTATCGCACACCAAGCGTTTGACAAACTGATCAAACACAAACCTTTTGGGTTATTGTCAATTTGAATTTTATTTTCACAAGCCATTGGAAATTGCACAGCCTTAAATGAATAAAATTGTATTGATTGGTGTTCAAATTTTTGATTCGCTTTTATCATCAGAGTCGATATTCCATCTAGGCTTATCGCATATCCGATCTTTTCAGTAACAGTTCATTTAGACGACCATAGTTCATCGGCCGCTTCCATATAAAATATTAAAAACTAAATTTCATTTAAGCGCTGACTCTGTTTAGCAATTAGTGATCTATTGAACCCCCTTCTAGGTCATTGTTATCGTCTAACAAGTGGTATCAAGAGCACCGGTTCATTCTGTGCTTCGTATATAACTTTTTAGAATATGGCAAATGAACCAAAAGAAGCTTACAATAGAGCACTAGTTTTTAACGGTGAGAACTATAGTTATTGGAAAGATTGTATGCGCGTGCATATCAATTCCATGATAGAAAGGTATGGAACGTTATACAAAATGGTCCCATGGAAATTACCATGACCGATGAGAATAACGTTGTTGTGCCTAAGCCGGAAGCACAATGGAATGATGAAGATGATAAAAAGTACAACTACGATTGGAAAGCTAGAAATATTTTGATATCCTCTTTGGGAGTTGATGAGTATTATAGAGTTTCACATTGTACGACTGCTAAAGCTATGTGGGACGCATTGTAAGTTGCACAATTCAGAATAAGTATCATAAACTAAATAAGAAGGAAACTCTTTTGGATTCACTACTGTTTGGACAGGTAGTTGGTTTGATTCTTGAGCTTGCTGCATGGCATTCACTACAGTGGCAAGTTATCCAATCTGTGTCTGTAAAGCTTGAAGACTGGAATCTGTTAGTTGCTGAAACTGAAGATCATTTATAGTCATTTGCTTGACAAGGTCCTCTAGTGAAGGTTCAGAAGATTTAAAGCACATAATTTGGAATTCTTTCATATGCTTATTCTGATCCTCTCCTGCAAATCCATTAAACCTTGGCAACAAGTGTACTAAACTAGATTTCGACTCAAAAAGAACATCAACATCAGTATATTCAATACTTAAACCATTATAATGAAAATCAAGAGCAGCAAGCTCTTTAAGAGTTCTTTGGTTAGCCATATTAAATTTAATAGGTAAATCAACAAAGAAAAAGAAAATAAAGAACTAATTCGGCAATGCAGCAACAATTAGGAAAATACCAACAATGTCCTTATTCATAAAAAGAATGGAAAAATAGAAAAGCGAATAAAGTAAAATCTAAAAGTTATGAAATATAACTAAAAATCAAATCAAATCAGAATAAATATCTACAAAAATTTTGGATTTTTTTGAAAATATGAAAATAGAAATTAAATCAAATAAAATAGAAAAATAAGGAATTTACGATTTTCAGGGTCAAAATCTTTTAGAATTCTGTTCTAAAGAAGTATTGTTCGTCGATTTTTTTCGGATTTTCTGGAAAAAATTTAGAGCAACTCGAAACAGTAGCTTCCAACTTACCTGATAGGCTGAAACGCTTACCCTTATTCTACAACTCTGAAAATTAACACACAAAAACAAAAAGCAAAAAACTCCAACAAATCTCTAAAATTAAAATTCTAAAATTGGCTAAAATCAACAAGAATTCCCCGGCAACGACGCCAATTTCATCTGCTGTCGCGGACGGATCAAAAACGAGTATTTTTGAAAACAGTAGTAACGGTAACGACAACTCGAGTATCGTTCTCACATGATTCTTGTATTATTTCAACCAACTAAAGAAAAGGTTTATGAGGGGTTTTAAGTTTTAATTTATAAAACAAGAGAAAAAGTGATTAAAATAAGTGATTATCAATTAAGCTAAAACGACTAATCCTACTGATTCGGATTCCGACTTATGATCGACTATTATAACACCAATCTCTAAGCGGCTCCAATCCTATTCGATTATGATATTAATCATACAAGCGTTTATCAAAACTATATGAATTATGTTCCTGTTACCGAATTAAGCAAACGGTTAAGAATATGACGAGTTAACAAATTAAGCAAACGATAACACGCAATTAAATTTAGGAACATGCACACAATCAAATTTAATCAATTCTATCCTATGAACACAGTCAAATTAAGAAAACGATTGCAATCAAATTAAGCAAATGATTTTATAGGTAAGAATTGAACAGAAATCAAATTAAATTGGTATTATAATAGC